CAGAAATTATAAACAGCTACAACTTATCAACACATCATCTAGTTCAGCAAAATCAGCACACAACACATCAATATACAGCTCACATCATTCAGCAGAATCAACATTTAAACAAACAATGCGTCGTCACGCATATCAGCTCGGAGATCTCCTACAACAACTCAGTCTTACGGCCTACAACAGCTCAGTCTTACGGCCTACAACAGCTCAGCCTTACAGCCTACAACAGCTCAGCCTTACGGCTTACAACAATTTATATCAGCATTCAATACAGCACAACATAGAAGCAATAATAGCATACAACATACGACACAACTCAACTTCTTTTTCGGATATGTTTTTTATCTCTAAAATTTAGAATAATTTTATTCTTGTTCTTCAAAATTTACTATTTTTTTAATCTCCAAATTTCATTAAATTTTGTTTTTAATTCTTAATCTTAGACAACATTAATAATGTGTCGTATGTGACAAACAAAGTAAACTTCCACAAATATCTTATGATTAGTATAGTTGAATTTTTTTATAAAATTAAAATTGTAAGAAAAGATCAATTTCAACACCAATTAATCAAACATCTTAGATGACATGCAATCATTAAGCTGCATTTAAAGTGTCATATAAACAATTAACATATCATATATTATGTTCCATTAAAGTTAATTAATAATAGGAAGAAAAAAAATAATCAAAAGGTTAATGTGAACGTTTCTTAGTCTATCCCCTTCAATCGTCTGAATATTTTCTAGTACATTTGGACGAATTTAAGAACATATGTCAACAGATTATTGTAACAGTTTGAATTTACTTTATATATATCTATCATAAATATTTAGTTTAATATATATATATATATATATAGGTTAATATTGGAAGATCCAACGCAATTTTTTTTTCTATTTTCAAGAGCGTCTTATATGTGACAAGACATAAAGTACTACTAGTACAAAAAATGTATTACATCTTAGTTATTTTGAGCTTTTTACGTAAAAAAAAAATATCAACGTAGATGCGGGAGACGTAAATCTATGTTAGCAGTGTAAAACCGACGTAAATTTACGTCGGACATTACCAAGGACTAACGTAAAAAAGTAGTAAAAAAAATAAAATAACAAGTGAAAGCAGAACGGGCCGTTCTGCTTCATAGAACAACAAAAAAAAAAGGCCAACAGCCCATACAAATAAAACAACCAAAAAATCGAATAGAACAGATAGTCACAATAGCAATGCGAAGCAAAAAAGTGTTAACGAAACCCTGATTCATACCTGATGAACTGCAATAGTGTGCGAATGAGTAACAAAGAGTTCACCCCACTATGCAGAAAACAAAAAAACAATTTAGTAACAAAGGAGAGGGAGAGGATTTACAGAGAAAAAAAATGAAAAGTGATGAAGAATGAATGCGCACGGTGTGCCTCGCATTCTCTTATTCAATTTCGCGTCTTTTTTTTACGTCGGACCTGGTAGGGTCCGACGTAAAATGTCAAATTTACGTCAGAGACAACATACATCCGACGTAGATTTGACTTTTTACGTCAGACCCTACCAGGTCCGACGTAAAAAAAGTTCGCGAAAATTACAAAAATGTCACCACGTTTTTTTTACGTCGAATTTCAGAATTTCAGACGTAAAAGGGGTGACGTAGTAACCTTATTTTGCACTATTACGAAACAAATGATAGGAATTTATATTTTTTAATTAAAATATCCAAGGTTCGATTTTAATTTTAAATATAAAATAAATTATATTGAAATAACAAAACACATCTTATATGCGCTCATGAACTTTAGTGATACCACATTATCAATACTATGATTAGTTACACAAAAGATATAACTCATGATATTAACTGAGTTAGACATTCTTCTAACATATTTCACTTATTTTTCTTTTTTAACATTCTTTATTTCAACAGATAAAGTAAACTCTACTACAACCAATTTGGATCCTCTTCATTTTTTATTTTTTATTTTTATGTTCATTTCTTAAATTTTTAGGAAAACAAATAAAATGAAGATAATACATTTAAAGAAAAGTAAAATTTATGTTCTTAATTTTTATTTATTTATTTTGAGATATGTTCAAAGAATTGCTGAAATGGAGACATAAGAAATAGAGAGGAATTTACTCCGGACACGTTAACTTACCTACGTATTATACGTTCCAATATTTAGTACGCCAATTGGCGCACCACCTGTCCACCTCAAGTTTTTAAAAGCTTCTTTGTGAGACTCTGTTTCATGGTTATGTTCTTGTTAAATAATATCAACACTTCCTCATATCAATGTTTTCAAAGAAAAACAAAATACCCTCCAAGAGTATATAATCAAACACACGAATGTTACGAATTCTAGATCCAGAAATCCAACATTTTTCTTTGATGCCACAGCTGGGGGGAGAAGCTTTGTTTATACCAAATCCCAATCTGATGATGGATACTCTTTTGATGATTGCCTCATACTTCTTAGGCTTTAAAATTTAGGGTTTAGGATAAATACTAGGAAATAAGGCTTTCACATTGTGATGAGATTATTCGGTAAAATATATATAAATAAAAAAAATTATATTATTTTTTAATTTTTATTTTTATATGTTACACTATTAAATATTATATTAGTTAAGTAATGATAAATTATTTAATAATGTGAAATTTTAATAATTAATAAATATTAAATTGATATATTCAAGATTTAATTTTTTTAAAAATAAAAAATTAAATATCTATTATAAAATAGAGAAATTAAAATTATATATTGATAAAATATGATTATAAACTCATCAAAATAGGTCGTAGCCCGTGGACCAATTCGGTCTAACTATTGAAAATGGGTCAGATTGAGTTAAAATAAATGAAAATTTTATAATAAATAGGTATATCTAAACCTGGTCCACTTTCACCCGGCCCACCCGAGTTGAACTTTTGGTGGTTCGAACAACCCATCATCAACCCACTTTTTTTTTTTTTTTACAATGAAAATTTGATTATGGCTTGTAGTTAATTTTGTATGATGGAACATTGAAACTTTTTATTTTAGACTTTTATCATGGTTTGTATTTAATTTTGTATGATGAATTATAACTTATAACTATTAATGATACTAATTTTATAACTATTATACTAATTTATAATTAATTTTAAGTTTTAAATTTTGTTGATAATTTTTTTAAAAATTTTTGGTGGATTGATAGGTAGGCTTGTATGACTTACCAATCCGTGATGGGTCGGACCGAACAAAAAAATTCTAAAAAAATAAAAATAAATAAATTGAATTGAGTTGGCCCATTTTTTAAATGAGTCAAGATATACCTACTCACATAAATCATGTTGACCCGTTTTGATAGTGTGTTCCTTTGTATACTCTCACAAATCTAATAAAACACTCATTGCTGCATTAATAATCTCATGATTAACAAAATAAATGTTCCAAATAAACGATTCAAATTATCCTCGTAAATCAACGTAGCACCATCAAATGCTAAAAGAAAGACAATATTTAATTACATCATAAAACTAAATTATATATATAAAAAAAACTGTGAGAAAAATGTACAACTGTTTATAAAATGACATGAAGAGAAAAATGAAAATAGAGGAATAAGAAGAAGAAAACCTACCTCCCACCTGTACGACCCTAATCTAGTAACTTAATCGATTTCAGTTATCAATCCAATTTTTAAAACATTGGATGTGAATGTGTTATTGTTTCTTTCTCTTCCTTTTCTTTATTCTTTCTTCTTCAACAATTAAATATCATACATTTTGTTATATTTTATATTGTTATTTATCTTTATAAGTTCTTGATGGATTTATTACAGGTGTTTTTTTTTGTTATTGTTATTTTATTTTTGGGTTGTAGCACTTATTTTGGCTATTGTTTGTGATTTATGATAAGTACATAATTAATCAACAGTGGCAGTAAGGAAGTCTACTTGGGAAGTTTCTCCGTTATTGACTTTGTTGTATTGCTGGGTAGGCCCTTATTGGGCCTACTTTTTGGTGGCTTTTTTTTATATCTGCATCGCACACTAATTAAAAATTAAACCAGAGTGAAACCCAAGCAGAGATGTATGATATAATTTTTAAATAATTTACTAATCATTGACCTAAAAAAAGTAATGATTAAGAAAATAATAATTTTTTTTACATCACATAAAGAGTGCAATGATAAATTTCATACGTATTATATCTTATTTATACTCTAAAAGTATTTTTATTTTTGTTTAGACAACACATCATTTCAATTAAATCTATTTAGTAAAAAGACATTTAAATATATGTAAATAGGGAGCATTTGTAATGTGGCAGAACTAATATTTTAATTAAGGATAATCATAAATTAGCATAAATAATTCAAGATTTAAATCAAGTTTATGTTTCTTATGAAGTTGTTTAATACCTCATGCAATTATTAAAGAGATATCCTACTAGTTCTCATACTTACTCAAAGAGATTCTTTGACACCAGAAATGAACTCCTCTGATAAACTTTGTTGATTCTCAAGTCGACAAGTAATGTTTTAAATTAAACTGAATACTATTGAGTTTTGATTAATTATTAAGTAGACAATAATGTTTGATCTAAGAATTCTTAACGTGTCATTAATTCTCTATTCGATAGTCATGAAAGTGTTATTCCTTATCTACCATTCTTATCGGTCAAAAACTAAATAAATTTAAGAAAATCTTTCATATACTTGACTCAAACACAATACCTTATATGTAACAAATAAATAAATAAATTATTTTCTCATCTCACTTTTTAAATATCATAACCAAACAGTCTGAAATGTTGTTCTGAAAAATGATTTTACTAAAATTTAAAAACAACCGAACCTCAAGTAATTAGCATTTCATCTTACAAAGCTCATCAGTTAATTTAAGAAAAATGCACCGAAGAATGATTACTAAGAAGTACCCAAGTATAACACATATTCCGTTTAATGTCAGATATATGCAACGCCCTTATATTCTTATTTATTGTTTTGATAACAATGTGATTGCTGTTTTTTTTTTTTTTTTCATACACAACACTAGAACTTGTACTTACAAGACTAAATTCAGTATTATTGGAAGTTGGTTAATACCCTTAAATTTTCCTGGTACTAGTGTAACATAAATGAGTGTAGGAGATAAAACATGTGGAAACTGACTCCACAGAACTGCATACATTAGGTTAAGCAAAATCCACATACATGGATTGGTTAATTTAATTAATGATATGATCAGCAGTCAAAGTCATCCTGATTAGGCTTGGGTGAGGTTAACAAAGCAGTGTAGAGACGAAGCCTATCCTCTTCCATGGAAGTGCACCTTGAAGCAGGCCTACGTGGCCTTATAAAGGACAAAGAAGTCAAAGTCAAACGGTGCCTATACCTCCTCCAAGCCAATTGAATGGCCACAGCAGCCCAAGTTCTCCACCCTGGTGAGTAATACCTCGCACTTCTCTTCACCTTTTCCTTCACAAATGTGTACCTAAAATGTTGTGTCACATACTTCACGTCTTGGGCCTCAAGCCCAAATGCCTCCGTCGTTTCAAGCGTCACCAATGTGCTTGAAGATGGTGGAAGCCGTTCTATAAAGGGCCTTCTTAGACACCATGATAGTAACTCGTCCCCACTGAAGTTCCCTGGCCCTAGCATGCAGCAACTTTTCACACCGTCTCTTAGGACTTGGCTACTCTGAAGGTGACCCCTTACTACAAATAACATTCTTTGAACCGGGTCTCCTTCTCTTGTTATCTGCATGCACGTAAAGTGTATATATATAATTAACCCTCACATTCTAAGAATATGTGCTATTAGTAATATTGTGATTCAAAGGGATGTATATATAGAGCTTACTGTTTCTCCTTTTGTGAATACAAGTGACTTCACACGGTCGCAAATGTTCTCTAGCACCAAATCATCCATATGCTGAAACAGTGGCACCTGAACAAATATTAACGCGTTAGCAATTAAGCCCTCTTTACTTGGGCCTCTGTATCTTTAGAGCCCATTAAGGTAGTAATCTTAATCTCCATGGTTTTGTTTTCATTGGCTTTTGACATTTAGTCATGGTACTTACATAGTACAATTTAACTCTCTAGAAACAGAATTGTATGTGTTAGTTGTTCATATTACTATTACCAACGCTACACAGAGACAAAAAGTAAAACAAAAGATTTCAAATCTCAACTAGAAAGAGGGCCACCAAAAAGAAAATTCACTTCATCAAGTAATCAATTACAAGCATGGAACAAAAAAAGCAATCAATTACAATGCAACAAGTGAAAAAAAACAGGATGAGTGGAAAAAATTCCACTCTGTTGACCCGTTCTCTAATTTGGACGGGTTTATAGATTAGATATCTAAGATTTCAATGTTTCCACTTTAAAGTTTAGTAGTTTATATATCGGTGTCGTGTTCGGTGGTGGTCATGTTTGATGTTTCTAATCTTTGGATATGATAAAAATGTTGTGTATTAAGGTACCTGTACGTCCTGTTTGCGGCCTCTAAACCAAAATCACAAAAGAAAAAGATGTGATCAAAATTTGATAGGAAATGGATTCAATGTAGTCGGAAACCACATACATAAATCATTCAAATCTTAAAACAAATTTCTTTTTTTGTCGTACTATAGATATCTGTGAATTATTGGATCACAGACTAATGCACTTATGTAAATAGTTTAAAACTTTTTTACACATCACAAATATTAAATACAAAATTTCTGACTAAATAAATCATTTTTATAATATGTAAGTTCATGATATTTAACTAATATGTCAATCTATCAAGATTTCAACACGTTTTATATATGATTTCTAATGGTAAAATATATGTGGTCTTATCTTCATCATTATTTATTAATGATTGTGTAATGTATTTTTATTTGGGTCGATAGAAAGAATTACAAACTACAGTATTTAATTAATTAAGTAATTGTAGATAAAAGAAGTGATCAATTGACTAATGTTTTATATAAGGAAAATTCTACGGTACCCGGTACAGCCATTTATTTTTTTTTTTATTGTAATTATTTGTTTTATTTTTATTTTAATTTAATATTTTTAATAATTTATATTTATAAAAAAATTTATATTTTTATATTATTTTTATATTTTTTAAATTTT